TTTCTATTTAAGATACGAAAATTCAACTAACGCTTTTTTATTTTATTTTATTTTTTATAACCTAACCCTTTTGTATCTCGAGGGATACCTGTAGCTGTATACAGTTTTAGCAGATTTTGGCTACAATTACTTTATAACAGCATCGACAATGTCATGGAATGCTTTCTTAAATGTCAGAAATTACTATATTAGTGTTAGATTTTAATTTGGACATGTTTATCTATGGTACAAAGTGACTGAATGACTTGACTGAATAAGGAGTTGTACTTTACATTATAGTAGTGTACAGTACAGTACTAACATAAAGAGATGCTGGCAGTGGGGACAGGTTTGAAGCATTGTGCAGATGGTATCCAATACTGTACTGTACATAATGAAGTTTTGTAGGTTAGTGGATTACAACATTGGATTTTAAAGCCGAGTGGTGAAATTTCACAGGTGCTTCTTTTGTGTTTCACAAACAACTCTTGTAATAAGCCGCTGTCTATGGTTATTAATCTGTTCCTTCCAAACTCATTGACCAAGATTGTAAAGCTATTTGATTGGTAATTGAGTGAGTGGATAAGTGAATAACTTTTTCCTGCCTTTTCTTCAACCTTGACTGTCAGTAAGATAATTTGCTTTCTTAACCAATAATAGTAATTGTTATCTATTTAGAAGTATTATTAAGTACTGTACTGTGGTGAAGTATACCATGTTTACATTGGGAATGTTAGGTAAGGGTTAAGCAGCCCCCTCATAACACTTTCTGGGGGGAAGGTAACAAGTTAGAATGTTCAGTATTTTGGATAACTCGCATAGTACAGTACATAACAGCACAGTACTGTAGTTCATTATTGAACAGTTTAAAAGCACCCACATTCCAGTATACTTCCTCAACTTTATTATGTATTTTCCTGTAGTGTCACCATGATGTAGCTAAGGGCTTTTAAAATGTGTAAAGACAAATGCAACTTTGAATATACAGTACAGTACAACAGTATATACTGTACGTAATATTTGTATTTCATGTGGGAATTGGAAGCTGTACAGGGGGGGGGGGTCGTTTTTTTTTGTTTTTTTGTAGAAGGGAATTTCTTCAGTGACACAACCTCTAACAAAGTTGGGGATTGATCTTCAGTATTATCGTCGGTTCTTTAGTCAGATTTTTCCTTACTGGTTTTAAATTTGTGAGGTTGGCATTTATCATGCTTTGTGAATGTGTATGTTTGCAAAAAAGCGGTATGGATTTTTTTAGTACGTATACACTAGTTGTTATCAGTTAGGAATATGGTTTTCCACTAATGAATGCACAAAAACTAGCATCTGATGTCCTGTATATTTGCCGGGAATTATTATTTTGAGGGTGCACCATAACAAGGACAAGTTCTGTGAGAAGTATTTTTGTGTGACATGATAACCGACAATGAGCCACTTGGCTTTAATCTACAGTACAGTTCTAGTAGTTACAGTTAATTATTTAAGACAAAGCTGAATTTAATGAAACCGTGGAAGAACTTGATATCTGATGGCTTTTTAAACAATTTCGGTAAATGGCCCATTAGGTTCTAGCTTCGAGAATGTTTTATAGGTTTCTTGAAGTGCAACATTTTTCACATTAAGTGATGAAAGATTAAAGTCTTTTGAATTCATATAAATAGATAGTGTTCATATGTTTCTTATGGGGCTTTGATAATTGTTATATGAACTCTGGGTTAAGTTTAGCTGATTGTGATGATATAGGTCTGTTATTGAAGGATGGTTGTGTAGGGAAGAATTTTTATTTATTTTTTTTCAAGTCAATTGGTAAATATTCAAGAAGTAGACAAAGATTGAGACAGTTGTTCTCTTTGTAGGACAAGTGTGTGTTGGCTGGGTGGCTGGGGGGAGAAGAAACGTTCAGGTGCCACCTGTGTTCCGTGCATTGTGGGTCGGCCAATGACTTACGACGGCACGTCATGACTCACACTGGGGAGAAGCCATTTTTATGTCAATACTGCTCTCATCGCACGGCACGCAAGTATAATTTGAAGAAACACATGCGTGATGTACATGGGGTGCCACTAGAATTGCTCTGGCCCAATAGTGGATCAAATACCTCTTTGGAGAGTCAATAAACTATACTACAGTATTATATAATGTGTATACGGGACAGTATATATATTTTTTTTTGCTAGATTTTCAAAAAGATTGCTCCGTGAACAAGGATTATATTTTAAAGATATGGTTTGAACTACAAATTTTCATTTTACAAAATACTGTACCTGGAAGTGTAACCAATAATTTTTTATACTTTCCCAAATGTTGGTTCTGAAGTGTTTAAATGAAACTGTACAGTATTAAGAGGTTATCAGAATTCAGTGTCGTTCATAAATACTGTATGTCAGTTTTAAGTGTTATGGTATTTCAGTGAATTGCAAGGAATATGTTTTATTTAATTGCTATGTGTTCTCAACTAAGCACTTGAAATTGGGCATAAAATGAAAACACACAAGGAAACCAGCATAAGACTAAGAAAGTCAATGTGATGTAAAGACAATCAGTCTCACATTCCCATGAAAAACTTCCTCCTAGAGGATTTGCTGAAATACTCAAGAATGTCACAGGGAACATGTGCTTCAGCAATGTATTTGTCAGTGTTGGATCATTTAAGATATCTGTAACTTTGCTTTTTTTGAGAAAAACTTTAACCTTGACAGGTCACTGTCAATAAATAATTTTTAGGAAAATGTCTGTGATTTTATATTATAAACAAATAAATTATGATCTCTCCTTTATCCTTTCTTATTTATCATCATTGTTGTTGCAATTCATTTCCTGGTCCAGGCCTGTAAAGAAAATTGGTTTCTGTCATTATATAAATATTATCCCCTAAATTATTAAATATAAAACAAAACAACAACACATCAACATTATTTAGAGTACCTTAACATTTTTGGGTCATACTGGCAACTCCATATTCCCATGTCTTGCCTTTATTGTGATCACACCTCACCTGATTCTAAAATAACTACTGTACCTGGATCATCAGCTACCGTACAATCATAAGAATGGTGTATCATAAGCGTATTTGCAGTACAGAACATAAATGTTTTATTTTTTGCTCGGTACTGGTTTCAGTTACATCAACAAACAATGTAGAGTAATAATATTAATCAGTGAGATGGTTGGGGTTGCTGTGCTGCCCCCAGCTGCTCAATCTGGGGTTTGGTGGTGGATTGTGCCAATGTGGCATTAGATGGCACATCCAGCCTGCTCCAGTTCTGTTTTTTTGTGGAAGATTCGGGAAAACTAGACTCACAAGTATCTGATTGAAAGCTTAGTCGAAAGTCATATCACCCACTTTGCCGTAGTTGGGTAATTCAATGATGAAATTTCTGTTCTTCCTAATATTTTTGGAATTACCCAAAATATTATGTCCTAGGGGGTATTGTAACCTTAGTTTGAGGTGTATTAATCTCCGGCACCCACTGTTAAGTAGACTACCATGATTGTTATTAAGTCATGTAAAGGTTACCTGAAATATTAACCCTAATGAGAGAGAGATATTTCAGATCACAAGGATTAGACTCCCTAGCTTATTTCACCTGAAGATTAACCTAACCTGACCCCAGGTATCATTAGGGTGGAAATAAGATAGTGTCTTTTATCTTCTGGCGATGCAGTCCTATGATCCCGTAAAAGTTTGTTGTATGATTATTCCTAGGATTGTGAATTCTGTGCCGCCTGTGTTAACGAGGGAGCCTTCTTACAGCTTTATGAGAACTCCTTATACCTGATACTGATGTCCATGGTCATTACGAAGTCTCTCTCTCTCTCTCTCTTTTTTTTTTTTTTTTTTTTAAACCACAAGGGATAAGGTGTGTTACTGGTTGTGGTCAGTGAATAGATGAAGCCCAAGTTTTTACTTCTTTTACATAACAGAATTCCTTGGGAGATGTAATTGGGGAAAACTAGTATAGGTATACTGTACAATTAGATGGACAGGCATAAATACAACAAAACAAAAGTGTTAAACTTATTTGCTATCTAGGTCATTTATGGGACATTTGTGTTTGTTATTGTATGGTGTGTAGGAGTGTTCACTGATTAGCTTGTTGGCTGGAAAATACTGTGCTGCCATAGGTGTGTGGTTTCTATAGTAATTTTATGCACTTGCCTTTATTCACATATATCCCACTTTGTGGTACAGTACAGTATTGCATATATTTGTAAAACCTGAGTGTCCCTTCAAAGTTAGCAGTCTAATCTCTTACATTTTTATATGCTTTTTATTTTTATCAATCATATCAACTCTACTCTTAGGAAAAACTTTAAAAGAAGTGTCATAATTATTTAGAGCACTTTCTTGCCTCTCATCAAGATTAGTTAAATACAAATTTATTTGATAGCTAAACTAATTTGTTCATCAAGGTACCAGAAAGTTGGATCCCTGTTTCTTGTATTGGTATCTGAAGGGTTTAGGGAGGACTCAGCAACTGAACCTGCATTATATGTAGGGAAAAGCTTCATCCTGTTGTTAATGTAAAGGTCATGATATGTGTATGAAGAAAAGTTCAACTGGTGTTGATAATAATGCTCTATATTTATGGTAGGAACTGTTATTAAATACTGTACTGTACAGGAAATGGAATTAATACTCAAATTAGGAGGCATTGTTAGGTGGGCATATCCTCTTGATAGCAAAATTGTTTAGGGATACCTTCTTAGAAAGGTTTTACACTGTTGTAGTATTCAAGGGGTGTCTCATTTTTCTTCGCAGTTAAAAAAAAGAAGAAGAGAAAATTGGAATTAAATAACTAGAAATTGAGACTTTGTTCTGTTTATTGTAGGCTGAGGGCCTGGAGTTAGGGTGGCTGGGGGGCAGTGAGGCGTTCAGATGCCACCTCTGCACAGTGAGTTGTGGCTCGTCCACCCAGTTACAGCGGCACGTCATGACTCACACGGGGGAGAAGCCTTTCTCTTGCCAATTCTGCTCCCACCGCACGGCCCGCAAGTATAATCTAAAGATCCACCTGAGAGATGTACATGGAGTTCCTATTGACCGTAGATTTGGTAGATATTGATATCAGGAGAGAAGATTTGTGATAAGATAAATTTTGTGGAATGATAATCGCCACATCGCTTAACAAACAGAGGCTACCAGTTCTGTTATAATTGAAAATGAGATTGAAGGTTATCGTAATACACAATTCAGAAGTAAGAATTTTGTATTTGCATTCGACAGTGTCGTGAAATTCTTGCTTTTTAATTGGTTCCTGTTGACATTGTTAAATTTGCAGGGTAACTGACAGACAGCAGTTTCTTTCTTTTATCCCCCAAGCAAATAAGATCCTATAATATCCAGAGATTACCTCTTAGGCTTTGAGCAGTTAGCTAGATACTAAAGAGATATACTACAAGGAATCTGTTTGTATTATATTGGAGATACCCCTCTACATGCACTGTATACTACTGTATAAACAATGTTCAGTATTTTGTCAATGGATGGGTTTTATTGTGTTGAAACATATTGTGTACAGGTAGTTTGTTGTTTCAGAGTACAGTATAGTAATGGCCATAGACCAAATTGTAAAAACTATGATAACAAACAGTCTGTAATTTGTTGCTGCATATTTGCACTGCAGTATCTTGGTTGTAACTTAATCTTGATAAAGGTGATCTGTTTCGACTTGGGTGTTCTGGTATATGTTGCTAATACAATAATGTTTATATTCTTCAAGCATTGCAAGTTTAACATAGGACGCTGGAAATAATGTATAAGAATATTTTTTAATTGAATAGATTTACATAGAACGTGTATTGTATTGTATTCAACTTTCACAGAAATTGTAATGTGTTTAAATATGACCCTTATTCAGAGGTTACAGTGATTGAGGTAGAGAAATTGAAACATAAGGAAATCTAACTTTAGTTGAGTTTGATCTTGGGGCTAAGGTTGATGTACCTTTTTAATTCAATTTACTGTATATTTCCTGTATGAAAAAACAACAACAGCTTTGTTTACATGATTCTAAAAGAAGAATAGATATATGTAAATTGGAGAAATAGTGCACAATATATGTTTGTGTGTAAAACTTGGGCACCAGGTTAGGTGCAAGTGAGGTGGGCACCAGGGATGGTTAGGTGCAGTGAGGTGGCCGTGGCAGTAACGGTGCGTTTCCTCTTGTAGGCAACGTCCCCGGTGTGGACTCCCCGCGACCTCTTCCCTGGTGCGGGCCTCTCATCGCTCCCCCACAGCCTCCCCCGGGCCCCAAGGTTCTCGCCTGGTGAGGGAGGTGTACCTGGATCTCAGGGTCAGGCCTACAGACATGTGGTCCCACGCTGCTGTATCTGCTACAAGACCTTCATGCAAAAAAGTGATCTTACACGGCATATGCGGATTCACACTGGGGAAAAGCCCTATGTGTGCCATTTGTGCCCATATCGAGGAAATCAATCAACACATTTGAAGAAGCATTTGTATCTGGTCCACAAAGTGGATAGCTCATTAACTCAGCCACAAAGAAAACCCTTTCCATGAAATGGATATATTGTATTTTTGTTTGTTAAATATTTTGTTTTTAGTGATGGGTAAAGTAAATTGCTGTACTGGTATCTCACTTATATGGCATTACATAACCTTGAAATTAATGGGATGTTATAACTGGTAGTTTAGTACAAGAGGAAACAAAAAGCCCATCAGGACTTGACTGATATCATTGAAAGTTAATACCTCGCAACGTCGGTCCATCACCAGTCATCTGAACATTAAGCACAGAATGCCAAGCAGCACGGCTAAGACGAACTCTCTCTTCTCTTCTAGGGGTGGACGGCCAAAGAAAGACTCTCAAGTGGTGATGTCTCCATCGCAGGCTCCATGCTTGATTCTGAGTTCCCCCAGGATGGGGCTGTCCTAGCCCCAGGCACATCTCTCTCTTTAGATGCCATTCTTCCTGGCCAGAGCTTTACTTCCCATGGTCTTAGTGACCACAGAGGACACACATGTCCATTCTGTGGGAAAAGTTTTATTAAAAAGTTCAATCTTACTACACACATTCGTATACATACAGGCGAAAGACCATATGCCTGTCCGAAGTGCTGGTATCGTGCCAATCAGCGTTCACATCTGAAAGCTCATGTGGTTGCTGTGCACAAAGGTGACAGCTGCTGAATTTGAGACTACTTAGAAAAAAAATTTATAGGAAGGTTGCAAGCAAGAGAATATATGTGTCAAGTGTCATTGCTAGGTGAATGCTTCAGTCAAGTTGGAGTTATCCATTTGTTAGCAAGTTGTCTGGTATCTTAGAAGAAGCATCATTCCTGAAACTGGTATGGTGAATGTTGTTGGTGCAGCTATACAGTACAGTGAAAGGGTACCACAACTGAGACTTCTTGTTTCTTTCTTTATAGGCTACAGGGTCGGAGCTCATGTCTGATCGCTCATCTCCGCTCCTTCCTCCTCCTCCCTCTGCTCACACTCATCTTCGACACTTCCACCGAGTGGCGTCACTTCATGCTGCTGTTGGAGAAGGCTCACGTTTGGCTGCTTCTACCACTAGTGTTCAGCAGGGCACCAGCCGGAGTGCTCTTGGGAGTGGAGGTGGCATTGTTGTGGATAGAAGTGATTATGGTATATCGATGGAAATCATACACTCGTCTCGAATTGGTCATTCCTCTAGTCAGCCAATGGCATTGTCAGACCACTTAAGATTGGCCAATAGATGGAATGACTCTATGAGCAATGGAGCATCAGTTCTTGATCTTGGTAGCATTCAATCCAAAACAAAAAATCGCATATGTGATCATTGTGGAAAAGTTTTCCAGTTTTCCAATGACCTAAGAAAGCACATTAGGACACACACTGGAGAAAAGCCTTACAAGTGTCCGTACTGTAGCTATCGAGCAACACAAAAGGTTCATTTGCGTGGACACATCTTACGACGACACAGACCAACACATGACGTCAGCCAAGATGGATAGATCTTATTCAGAGCTTTGTATCACAATGCATCAATTGAAATTCATCAATCTCTTATTTATTGGAGCATTGATGTAATGATCAATGAAGAGATTGGGAATATTTAAGAGGCTGTATTTTTTTTTCTTATAGGGTGTGCTGGCAGGCCCCATGGTAGGCGTAGAAATGGATGGTCCCCACACCTCTCAGCCTGACAACTTTCTTCTCTACAAGAAACAAGACCATCTTGGCAGGACTCTTTATGGGTGTCGAGTGTGTGCTAAAACATTCTTCTATGCTGGGGACTGGCGAAAACATATACGTACCCACACAGGAGAGAAGCCATACCAGTGTCCTGTATGTTTCTACAGGGCAGCTCAGAGGACAAATTTGAAGAGGCATATACTTAGAAAACATCAAGCCCGATCGTTGCCCACTGTACCTACATAAATTACATCCATGCTGCTCTACCATGTTCAGTTAGGATTGGTTTGTGCTGAATGTGTTATATCAGTGGAATCAGTTGGTTGGCTAAGTGGATTGTTAGACATAGGGCAGCCAGATAAGTGGATTTAGCCAGGGAGATAATTGCTGGAGATTTCTGGTGCTAAGTCATTAAGTTTTAAGTGTAATATAAATCAAATTAATTTTTAGTTCAAAGACTGACAGAAACCATGTCTGCTTTTTGTTGTAGAGCTGGCTGGGAGTAATCGGGGTTCCGCTCGTAGGTCAAGACACTGGCAAGCAGTATGGTGTCAGGAAAGCTTGTCAACTGCAGGCATTATCTGGCAACTTTTCTCACGTCAATGCCATGGTGACTGGTGAGAAACTCATGACTGGACCAGGAAGGTTCATCTGTGAATTTTGTACAAAGAAGTTTAGTCACAAGAGCGATCTCACCAAACATCGACGGACTCATACGGGAGAAAAACCATACCAGTGTCCTCTGTGTCCTTACCGTGCTACTCAGTCCTCGCACGTTCGCCGTCATGCTCGATTCTTACACGGGCAAGACGTATATGAGTACAACTCTACTACTCCTTGACCATGATTTATTATTTGAAAAGCTGTTATCCTCACAAGAAAATGTACAGACTGTATTCATATTAATCTTGATTTTAATAATTACAATATTTAATTTATTTTTTGTGTAGGGAATTAAAGTTCAGCTTGAGTTTCTTCAATGCCTGTATATTTTTGTACATGTGCCAATAAACTTGTAAATGTATACTGAATGAGAGTTCACTAGTAACCTATGGTATTTTTTAAATGCTTTTTTTATTGTGCCCTACTGAATGCCATCCTGGAAAATACACACACATGTTTGTTTGGGTTATTCAATATTTTTGGGTTATTCAAAAATTTATATATATATGTATATATATATATATATATATATATATATATATATATATATATATATATATATATATATATATATATATATATATATATATATATATATATATATATATATATATATATATATACATACATATATAAGGTAAAATTAGTAAATTACAATGAAAGACTGCAGAATCACGGTAACTTCAGTAAACTCTGTAGTTTGCAGACATTGAAAAGAAAATAATTGCTATCACCTAAGGTACATTTTCTGTAATGTTTTCCTGTACATGGTCAGAACTGTGTACAGTATACTGTACGGTAGTGCAAATGAATACAGTGCTGTATCACCATAACAATGATGGTATGGTACAGTAGAAAACTTGAAATTTATGTTTCCACAAGTTGGGGTTTGTGTATGTCCATTTAAAAAGGCTTGAAATGGTAAAAGAAAAGGAAAAATTATAAATTTTCAATGAAGACAACATTTGGATTAATGATACAGTATAGTCAGTTCTGCTATAACGCGATAGTGGTGTTCTTGTAAAACACCGTGTTATAGAAATTCGCTTAATAGAAATAACAGGGCTTATGGAGAAAATAGGGTTAGGTGCGGATTACTACCCGAAATCGAAAAAAAATTAGTAGTTAGCCTAACACAAAGGATAGCACAGTCTAAATAAATGTTACATTCATATCTAATAATGAAATCATACAGTAAATGTAACACTTTACCTTGAAAAAATATGAATATAACTTGATGGGGGAGAAGGGTGATTTTGAGGTAGATAACATCAAGCTTCTCTTCAAGGGTTACAGCATTTCTTTTACGATCATCACCGGGAATGCGATCACCAGAACGCTTCTTGGAGATATTCTTCTTTACCATATTCACAGTTAATACCACAAAATTAGAGAAATAGTAAGCAAAAACCGCGTTACAGCAAACAAGTGTTCGCGTTATACAAATATCGTTCCTCTATTCATAAATCGCATAAGAGCCAATTCGCGTTGTCAAAACACGCGTTATAGCAGAACTCACTGTACAGTATAGATGGTGCACATTCTTAGGTGCCCTCATCTAAGTACAGTACAGTACTTAGGTGTGAATTTTAGTCTTTAGTGAAAGGTAAAATTGACCATACTAGAATACTAGATGATGGTAATTTTAATGGTTAATTGGCTCCTTGTAATGGTCAATTGTAAAAACATAAAACTTATATACAAGAAAAGTAAAACACATTACTGGATTATAAAATGTTGTCTAACCACACAGTGGTGTATATCAAAACATTCCTGAAATATTTTGTAGACCATCCAATGTATCTTAATTGTTTTATATTGCGGGGAAACAGTTTTTTAATGTATGAAGTTTCATTGCCGAGCTGATGATAGGAAATTTAAATTGGTGCATCCTCAGCATTTGCACAAGTTGAGTTGGTGATCCCGATAGTGTACTGTACTTATCTGTTTAAATCCTGACGCTGAAACCTCCTCTCGTGCTTGGGAAAGTGGTTATGAATTATGATGTTCTACCAGGTGCTGGAAATCTCTTGAAGTAAACATACAGTATTTTGCTTCCGGACTGGCAAATACATTCTCTCCCAAAAATGCAATTACAGTAAAAGTACTGTGCTGTGTGGATTTCACAGTGCATGTGGGAAAACATTAAAGACTACAGTTGCAATATGTAGTCAGCTGGTCACCTTACTTTGAAAAGATTCAAGTGAGGGAGATGTTTGGAAACGATGTGTTAAAAAAAGGATTTGTAGTGATCAACGGCAGGAAGACCTATCACGCTGCTATAAACAGGGTTAATATGTTGACCTCACTTTACATCCACTTTTGATCTACCATGACTTCTCTCACCATGTGTGACATAGGAAAAGTGGCTTTGGCCATTTTGATGTCCTATTATGTACTGTACAGTGATGGCTCTGTGCTGATATTTTCAGGTTCTAATTTAGTTTTTATTAAAAAATGCTTTAATGTTTACCACCTGTTATGGGGAAGATAAATACTGTATCAACTTGTTTGGTGTTTCTTATGTTTGAGGGAAGAATGTGTCCCAGCAGGTGATGATGATCCTAAGAGACAAAGCTGATGGTCTGTTGTAAGATTTGAGGAAAATGGGAAACTTCACCACTACACAGGCAAGATGGCATCTCCTTTTGTAGGAAATTGTAATCAAAGGTTACCAAGGTTTGATTCATGATTATGTGCCCAAGCAGCGTGAGGAAACATATATGAAAGAACACTGACACAGGTTACAATCCTATGTGACCAGTGGTGTTTTTTTTCCCGGGGATTAGCCCACCCAGGCGCAGGTCACTGACCCACATCGGGGTGGGGGGGGGGATTTAATTATAATTCATAGTAAATAAAATTTATAATAAATAAATACAACATTAAAAATAAAATAATAATGATAAAGAACCATAAAGAAATACAAAAATGAAAAAAGATCAAAAGCGAGAAACAATATATGTATGTTGTGTTGTCACTAGTAAGAGAAACAATAGAGACCCTGCAATTGTGTGTAAATGAGGCAGAAAGTCAGATCAGCAACCTGGGACTTGGTTGGAAGTATAACAAGTAGGTGGTGAGAATGTCTTTGGATACAGTATTTGGAATTGTGAGTGTAAGACTGGTGTCAATTGGGGGACCACTGCATGAATCCTGTTAAGTGTATGGAAGTAAATACTGGACATGCATAATACACTTCAAGTTTATTATATACAATTTTTAACTCTGCACTTTCACCACTCGTTTTTTTTTCTTTACCTTTTCAAGTTTTTGCCTACTTCAGCATATGGTAGACAGAATCATGAGTGAACACAAACATCATTTGCTGTCTCTCATTCACTCTATTGCTCTGACAGGTGTATTTGCTATGCTGTTCCTTTTCAATTAGAAGACCACAAGATATTTACTACCGGTATACTGTATTTGGTTAACTCCTGTTAATTTACACAACTTTCAATGTTAATTAGCAACACACCCACCCCAGAAGCCAATTGATTCCATGCTTTCTGGTCACTCGCATACAGATACAGTACAACACTAGTTTCCACCCCCTCCTTTCTAGTGCATCTTGTACTATAAGAAAGGGTTCTTCAATAAGGAAACAAAAAAGTATAAGTGCAATATTGCACCTGGTGATGGAAATAATGTGGATGGTTCCTTCCATGTCTGAAAGTTGGTCCATTAGCCCTGATCACTTGTAAGGGCAGTGAAGATATTGTACAGTGGACTTAATCTGCTTTTAAAACATAAGTAGACATTGTAGCTGTACTGCACCCAACCCTCTTTCACATTCTCAACTACAGTTGGGTACAGTACCTATTCACAGCTGGGTGAACTGAGAATGGCCTGAGTGTGAACCAGCAACCCTTAGAATAGGTGGCAAGTACTTTACCTCTTAGCTGCTGCACCCCTGATAATAGAATTAAAAAAAATTTTACTCATGCTGATCAGTCCATAGAAGGTTGTACTTTGTGGAAGGGGAAGACTGTTACAGTACAGTATTTAGATCTTCTCTCGGGCTTACTAAGGATCATTGTCGGGCAAGAAGAGTTACGGGATGATGGGTTATAATTACATTGACTACGGTGTTTGTGAGATTGGTAATACAGTATTTCTTTTTCTTCGTGTGAATAAACAGTGAGTCCTATAATTTCTTGATTTTAATAAGATCATTGTGGGTAAAGGGTTTCATATATAGATAATGAAATATACGTGAGGTGAATAGTTTTTGTAGTCACTTATGCCCTTTTTGGCTTGGCTGGATAGAAAGATACTGGTAAACTTTTTCTTATAGATTTTAAAAAATGTGTTAGTTGTTGTGCAAGAGAAAAGATTATTGAAGGATGTAGGCCTTTGATGCTTAGATCTTGAATGTTGGCATGAATGGCTGCCGTAATCACTAAGAAATTCATTATAAATAATTAATTTGTCTTTTGGGAATTGGAGGGACAGGTGGAAAGTCTTTTACTCTGCCTCTATGGAAAAGATCATTAAAAAGAGATAGAAATAACACCGCCCTCTCTGGTTCAGGAGCTAAAGATTCACTAACTCGCTGAATTTTTATTTTATTAGGTTTTGTTTTTAATCTCCAAAGTTTAATTTTATAAAATACAGTGATAATCCCATTAGCCGGAATAATTGGTGCAGAGTGGCTTCGGGATTGAGAGATTCCTGGGGCTGGACTGAATTTTTCCGGGTACTGGAGAAAGTTTTCTGAATCTAAACTACACATCTAGCACTGGCAGACACAGCTGTATTTATTTATAAAAACATCATTGTACACATACAATATATTGTAAATAAACAAAAACTACAGTACTGTATACTGTACTCACCAGCAGTTGTTGTCATCTTGAGGTTATGATGCAGGCAGGCCAAATGGTGATACAGGATGGCCTGCCTTTTTCCTGTAGCAGGTGTTGCTGTCACTCACCTC